TCTCCAGAGCGTTCCGGAACACCACCTGGGCAGGAGGGACAGGTGTGAGATCTCCAGAGCGTTCCGGAACACCACCTGGGCAGGAGGGACAGGTGAGGGTTGGGGACAGGTGTGAGATCCTCCTGAACACCACCTGGGCAGGAGGGACAGGTGAGGGTCAGGGAAAGGTCTGAGATCGTCCTGAACACCACCTGGGCAGGAGGGACAGGTGAGGGTCAGGGACAGGTGTGAGATCCTCCTGGGATGTCCTGAGATAATCCTGGGATGTCCTGAGATCCTCCTAAAAACCACCTGGGCAGGAGGGACAGGTGAGGGTTGGGGACAGGTGTGAGATCTCCAGAGCATTCCGGAACACCACCTGGGCAGGAGAGGACAGGTGAGAGTTGGGGACAGGTGTGAGATCTCCAGAGCATTCCGGAACACCACCTGGGCAGGAGGGACAGGTGAGGGTTGGGGACAGGTGTGAGATCCTCCTGGGATGTCCTGAGATCCTCCTGGGATGTCCTGAGATCCTCCTAAAAACCACCTGGGCAGGAGGGACAGGTGAGGGTCAGGGACAGGTGTGAGATCCTCCTGGGATGGCCTGAGATCCTCCTGAACACTACCTGGGCAGGAGAGGACAGGTGAGGGTTGGGGACAGGTGTGAGATCTCCAGCGCGTTCCGGAACACCACCTGGGCAAGGAGGGACAGGTGAGAGTTAGGAACCGGTCTGAGATCCTCCTGAACACCACCTGGGCAAGGAGAGGACAGGTGAGGGTTGGGGATAAGTGTGAGATCCTCCTGGGATGTCCTGAGATCTTCCTAAAAACCACCTGGGCAAGGAGAGGACAGGTGAGGGTCAGGGAGAGGTGTGAGATCGTCCTGAACACCACCTGGGCAAGGAGAGGACGGGTGAGGGTCAGGGACAGGTGTGAGATCCTCCTGAACACCACCTGGGCAAGGAGGGACAGGTGAGGGTTCAGAGGATGTCCCAAAACCCTCCTGAACCCCACCCGCACACAGAAGGACACGTGATGTGCTCAGAGGATGTCCAGAACCCCACGTGGACATGAGAAGGACACGTGATGGGCTCAGAGGATGTCCCAGAACCCCACGTGGACATGAGAAGGACACGTGATGGGCTCAGAGGATGTCCCAGAACCCTCCCAAACCCCACCCAGACACAGAAGAACACGTGATGGGCTCAGAGGATGTCC